TAAAATATAAAATAAAATAACATAAAATAAAATAATGATTATAGTATTTATGACTTTATAATAATTAAATTTTTTAAAGTATTTACATCAAGAGTAGTTAGTAATTCATTTATAATCTAGCTTTACTTTAGCTTCAAACTCAAATAAAATTATTAAGATCATATCGCTTTGTACAATAGATTTATTTCTCTGAATATCATCCAATGTAGATTGCTTCCTTTTGCATAATGTCTTTTTTAGCTTTTTGTATTGGTCAATACTTGCAAGTACATGTTGCAATAGATCTTTCTACTAATCATAGTATAATACATATTAATGATTATTAAACACTTTAAATAAAAATAGAACAATGTATATCTTTTGGGATATTGATTTTTGCTATCAAGAAAGAAATAATCTACTATACAAGGCAGTGATTACTAAGTCTCTTACAATATTTTTTACAATTAATATGTTCTAGTATCTCTTTGTGATATTAATTTAAAAGCTATTAAGCAGTATGAAATCTATTAGTTATAGCTATTTTCTATAAAATCTATTTAATAACTTTAATATACAAGAGGTCCAATCTAAATAAATCCATTATCTATTTATTCATATCTGAATTTATCCAGATATCTATTTACTATTGATATCCAGATAATCTGACAAATATTCGAATAATTATCTGGATATCAATAGTAAAACGAATATCTGAAGAAATTCAGATCTGGATATCCAATAGATAAATGGATAAATAGATAATAGATAGGAACTCTATAATATACCTTATAAATGATATCAAATAATTGAATAGAAAAACATTTTACTCTTTTTTAACAAAACTTTAAACCCATATTTCATGCTAAAAAAATGATTTGAGTTTTTAGTAAACAATTTTTAAAAAAAACATATCAATAATAATATAAATACCTATTTAAAAACCATTCCAGATCTTTTATATCTATGTTAGCCAGAATTTTCTTCAAAGCTTTGACAAGAATCTTCTTATTGCCTTTTTGACAAGCCTTATAAGATTATTAGTTTTAGGTGTAGAATCGAAAGTGGAGTGCTTTTATAATCTTTTTTAAATATTGTTTTTACTAGAATAAGTGGTATCATTGTGTGATATAAATCTTTTTTACTTAAAAAATCAGATCATAATAAACTTTTAAGTTGTTCATACCAAGCCAAGTGAGGCTATGCTATCTATAGAATCGAAATGAGTAGTAAGATTTCTGCGAATACTAAAACTATAAAAGTATCAAGTACACCTACTTGCCTCTTATATTGATATCTAGCAGCTTTTCTAGATCATAAGATATAACAAAAAAATTACTTATAACTTCTATAATTCCATATAATAAAATATCTTGTATAAGGTATATACATATTGAATATATATTGGTTTTATATTAAATTACTTTCATTTACATACGTATAATAGTAAATGAATTTTTATTGCCAATAAATTTACAACATATTATTAATTACATCATTAATAATAAATCTGATCTATTGTAAAGTTTAAAAATATGTAACCTGCTTCTGAAACATGGTTACTTCATCTTTTATTTGTCTATGTCTCCATTGAATTTCCATTTTTGGTTGTATTTGATTTGTATCTTGAGATACTAAAATTACACAGGTTTGTTGTTGATTTTTATATTCATGTACATCCCAATTTGAATCTTTAAAGATTTGATCTAAGGTTTCATACACTCCTACCACACTAAATACACAATAATAACACCCACAGCTTGATGAATATTGTCTAATATTACCATAAAAAATCCCTACAAACAAACTTTCCAAGCATGATACATTTACATATTGATTTCGTTGCTACACCCTTTTTTAATTTGTCTTGAATTAAAAATACTAGTGTTTTCTTAAATTCAGAAATTGCTTCAGGTGGTTGAGGCATTAAACCAGCCCAAGAAATATTATAATTAGAGTAGATCAGTGATTCATGTTGACTTAGCCCTTGTAGATTCTTATAGCTTTTTCCTGGACATAAAGCACAGTAAATACGTGAAGAATCAGTAAACAGCAATGAAATATGGTTGTTATTTTGTTTGTGAACTCTACTCTAATGTATATGAAATTCTTAAACGTTTTGTTTGAACACAATGGGCATGAAAAATTTAACACAATTTGACTTTGCATTTCATTACAAAAGTATTTACTTAGTCTGGTTGTTAGAATATGAATATAGCCAAGAAAAAACCTGTTATTGGGGTTTTAAATTCATAATTTACCAGACACAATCTCTAACAAATCAAATAGATCGAGTCCGGTAGGCAATAAACTTGGAACTCCGATGACAGGCTTTCTCTTGATAGCATATATATGTGGTAATACTTAGCTTTTCAGAACTTTCAGAGTAGTTTTCCTTGCACATACAGACAAGAGATTAGTTTTGATATCAGGAGATTGGTTTGACACTTAGTTTATTATAAGCTTTGACGATGGGAGATTGAGTTAACACTCAGTTTATTATGATGATAATTATCAGATTAATAATAAAATAATAGGCCAAATTCTGCTGATCCGCCGATATGTTATAATTCTCAAATTATATTAATTAATTATATATTTATATTTTAAGTAAACTTGTTCTATGCATAAAAATACACCATATTAGCATATGTTTACTTTATATTTGTAAAATTTAAGAAAAATATGCTTAATTCTAAATTTTTGATCAAAATTTTAAAATTAAAAATATTTTTTTTAAAATTTAAAATTATAATATAAATGTATATCAATATAATGTAGTTTTATGTGTAGAACAAGTTTACTTAGAACATGAAGATATAATTAATTAGTAAAATTTTGAGAATTATAACATTTTTTATAATTTTATTAATAAAATTATGCAAAATATTATTGATTTTAAATTTATACTAAGTAAATCTCTCTTTAATGTCTAATTAAAGTTGTATAGGGGTGTCTTGTGATCAAAATGGCAGTTAGATCATTAAATCAGCCTAGTTTATCATGAGATATAGGTATTTTTGTCTTAATGGCTATTTGTTTCTTCTTTATTTCTTTTTTTATTTATATAAAGAAGAAAATATATAGTCATGAGAACTAAAATACATATATCTCATGATTTACTAGGCTGATTTTAACGTTTTAACTGCCATTCTGATTGCAAGCTATTCATCTACAACTTTTCTTAGAAGTTGACAATAGGTTTACTTAGTAAAGAAAAAAGACTTCTTTAAAAAATTCCAAATTTGAAAATTCTAAAAACAAAAAAATTTTTTACAAAACTACTACTAAACCTGAATATGTTTATAAACTTTGAACATGTTTATGAACTTTGAACTGAACATGAACTGAACATGAACCTGACTTAAAAGTTCAATACTGAACCTGAACTGAATATGAACTTAACTTAAAAGTTCAATATTGAATATAATTGAACTGAACCTAAACCTAAACTTGATCAAAGTTCAGTTCAGTTCAGGTTTATAGAAACACTATTACAAACAATTTAGCAAAAGAAGATTGCTACTAGCCTAAAATTAAACTAAACTATAATTATCTAATTTCTTACCTTATTTTTTTTGATATGATAATACTATCTATATACTAATTTAAAACTTATCAAAACTTTTATACTATTTGCATACTTAACTATATATTAATTTTTTTTTAAATTTAATTAATTTTTTTATTTTTTAAAAAAAGTATCTCAGGGGGACATACTAGCCAAACTGCTGGGTTGCCAAACCGGAGGAAAAGGACATATGCTCTGAAAGCATGTACTAAAGAAAGGAAGACCATATAGACACCAAAGTCTAGGTGAACCAACCCTTCTGGGTTGCTGGCTAGAAGTAAGAAAGAGACCGATAAACAATCCGGGAAAGAAGGAAAGTTCGAATATGGGTGCTGGGGTTGTGCGAACCCAAAACAAGGGCAGAAGTACGTAACAACTACTAAAATAGGAAGGTTGTAGTTTGAGATACGGATCAAGTTACGGCAGTATCCTAAAAGATAGCTCGAGATACGAACCCGGTGGTGGCAACATAACAGGTACCAGATTAGAAAGATATTACAGAACATGCAGGTAAATACATGTGTAGAACATGTACCGCTCTGTTAGGTTTATCTCGTGGATAGACTAGCTAATGCTAGTAAGTCCTAAGGTGGGTGCGAAATCTATAGGTGTCACAAAATCTAGCATAT